CATTTCTACGCGTCCTGATATTGAAGGTGTGTATTCACAAAATTGTCCTGTTATATCATGAAAACAAACACACACACCCACACACACCCACACACACACACACACACACACACACACACACACTAGTATGCTCAGAAAAATGAGGACGCGAAAAGTGTCCTCACATTTCCACGTGTCCTGATATTGAAGGTGTGTATTAAAGAAATTGTCCTGATATAACATGAAAACAAACACACACGCACAAACACACACACACACTCTAGTATGCTCGGAATAATGAGGATGCGAAGTGTCCTCACATTTCTACGTGTCCTGATATTGAAGGTGTCTATTCACAAATTGTCCTGACATATCATGAAAACAAACACAAGCCAACCAGAAAGAGTCCTGCCGGCAGCCGATAAACAAACCACCCACACCTGAGCACACACCGGAGCGCACCTCCTACATGTCCTGTGCCCGTCGGCCGTCTCTGGGCTCGGCTCGGTGGCGTAGAAGCCAGGGCTGCAAGAGGACACACACCTCCACTCCTCCGCCAAGTAGCCGTCTGCACAGCGGCTGCAGGCCTCAGCGCCCGCGCCTGAAGGGGTTGTCACCACACTGACATGTTCAACTCGATACCGATACTCAGGAACATATTCAATACTCGATGCCATTTTTGATACCACAACGATAAAAACAAAGACCCCAAAATTTTACTGAATTTTGACATGTTAGTGTCTTTCCGGTGGCCCACATTAATGACCCTAACCCTAACCCTGACCCTGACCCTAACCCTAACCCTGACCCTGACCCTGGCCCTAATCCTAACCCTGATCCTAACCCTGACCCTAACCCTCCACCCTTCATAATTGTAAGAAATACATTTTTTTCCGTTAAATTTGTTTGGACTTATTGTACAAACCTCTTTAACATACACTATTTTAACATAATATTATTCATATAGTTTAATTCAGTGTTTGCAAGATGAATTTCACTATTTTTAAATGAATGTCTATATTGCCATGAAGCAATTATGATTCTCTTGCCTTGGATCTTCCGATTGGTGACCTAATCAAAATGGCCGACTTGGATGTGGGGGGGTTGGATAGCCATCTTTGGCTTCCCGCAGTCTGCAGCAATATGTACTTGCGTGTTTTTATTAGCCATTAGCCGCAGCTAGCAATTCAAGGCTAACGTCACGTCAATTATCATAAACAACGTTAATAAATACATAAATCAGAGAGAAGGCAGGGGGGGTATCGATACTTTTGAAAATGAGTATCGTATCCGGATACAACGTTTTAGCATCAATACTGTTTTGAGTATCAATACTTTTGACAACCCTAGCGCCTGAAACCACACAAAGCCTCTCCAACGTGAGCTGTAAAAGCCTCTCTCAATTAGGATTAGGAAGGAGGAGCCCCCCCACACCTGCACAGGTGGCGCAGGCCTGGTGACAGGGCGCGCACAGGCCCTCCTCCGGGTCACGGTAGAAGCCGGCCGCACAGCTCCGGAGGCACCGGTTCCCCTGCAGACTGGAGAGAGAGAGAGAGAGA